AAACTAACATAGCACTATTTAAATTGCTTATATAACACAATAGTCTATAAGTAACTGAATTTTTTACAACACATTATTACAAATCATGATAAGCCTGTTACAAAACTAATATACTCCATCTAAATTGCTTATGCGATCAATAGTTAGTAAGTGCAAAAACTGAACTTTTTACAACAAATCACCATACAAATTATGATATGTTTATTAAAACTACCATAACTCTTTTTAAATTATTCACACAACTATAATATTTAGTAAGTACAGTAAGTAAACTTTTTATAACAAATCACTATAACCCTATCTAAATTATTTACACAATTATCATAGTAAGTAAGTATAGTAACTGAACTTTTTATAGCAAATCACTATACAAATTAAGATAAGTCTATTACAAAACTAACAACCTTATCTAAATCACTTATGCAACCACCATAGTAAGTAAGTACAGTACAGTAAATTACTATACAAATTATGATAAGTCTATTACAAACTAATATAACTCTATCTAAATCACTTATGCAATTACAAACTAAAATAACTCTGAAAAATAATATGACATAATTTTGATATAACACCAATATATAATTGCTTTATAGAAGTGTTAGACAATGATATTATGTAAATGATAATTTGTCATATTATAATCTGTAGATACTTAAGTATATTCTATATCCAACCTGAGTATATTCTAATAGCAAAATTCCTGTACTGAGTAATCTTGTTACTGTGCTATGTAGTTATAAAAAGGCTATAGCATTGTAACAATATTTGCAAAATAAAAGATTTTATATAAAAAAAAATTCTAAATATAATTATAGTATCTACTAAATATAAGATTTAAATTGATAGTCAAAGGCTTGTCAGTAGGCAGCATATGAAGTATAATGTTATTAATAATGTGTCCAAGTATTTTTTTGGCTTAATATCATTTTGTATAATACTTGAGTTATTAGAGAATTTATTTTGTGAATTTCTATATGAATGACTTTTTTGAGTATTGTGTAAATAATTTTTCTAATAGTTTTTTTGAGTGTTTTTCAATTGAATTTCTTGAGCATTATATAGTTGAATTTCTTGGGTATTATTATATACTGATTTTTCTAAGAGTTATATAATTAATTTTTTTGAGTATTTAGTAATAACTTTTTAGAAAATTAGATTGTTGTTAGAATTTGAAATCTTTGCTTTCTTGAGTAATAGTTTAAAGGGTATAAAAATTTTGGCTTTAATTTTAAATGTCTTGTATTTTGGGGTAATTTATGTTGTAAAATACTGTTATTATTATCAATTCTATTATTAGATGCTGCTAATACTTCCATATTAGATTCAGATCCTGTAATAGATGTTATAAAAATTTTTATAAATGATAATAATAATTTAGTATAATAATAAATTTGATATTTATTAAATATAATAATATACTCTAAATTTGAATTGTCAAAATTAGATATAATTATTATATCTTCTATATATTGTATATTTAAGTATAAAGTCAAAAAATAAAAGTATATTATTTTTATTATATATTTAGTTGAAATTTTACCAGCTTCTATACTATCTTCTTCTAATTATAGGATTCTTCAGAGTAATTATAATAATTTTTAAATCTTCTTTAACTGCTACAAATAGTATAAACAATACTATAGAGTTTAACTATTGATTATCAGTGAGTTTATTGTAAAATCTTATACTTTCTCATAATCAATAATTTGAAAAAGCTATTAATTCATTTTTAGTGTATCTGATACTTTAAGAAGCATAATAGCAGTTTATTTTGCAAAATAATTTAATATTTTATAATTTGCAATATTAATTTTAATATAAGTAACAATTTAGAATAATATATTTTAAGTTTGTTTATATCTATACAAATAGATTTATATCAAATTCTTTTTTGAATATCTAAGCAATAAAATTGTAAAAAAAAAAATTTAAAAAATTAAAAACTAATTTAAATAAATTTAAATTAACAAATAACTACTACTTTACTAATATATTTTTTAAAAAAAAGAATCAGAATTTGATATTTAGCTAAATATTTAGATAAGTAAAAATTATATTTTTTATTAGTATAAATTGGTTTTTAGTATTATTGAAAGAGATTGGAACAGTATATGCAGAATATGACTATATCATCTATATTGAAAAACTCTACTCTGATTATTTTTTTCTTTTTTGAATTGTAGTTGTAAACTACTAATTACTTGAGATTCAATATTATATTATTACAAGTTGGATAAATTACCTCTATGAAGCTATATAATAGTGATAGTAAAAAAAAATTCTTTTTATTAATTCTTCATTATTAGTAACTAAGAGAAATTTATAATTTAAATAAGCCATAATTTCATCAGAAGTTAAAGCATCACTTGAATTAGTATCACTATATCTATCTATTTGTAAGAAATGCATTTTTCATCAAGACATTTTAAAGCTTTAGAAAAGTAATATTTATTATATAACTATACACCACTTCTTATTATACTATGTTCTCTTAAAAATATTCTAAAGCTGAATAACAATTATGGACCTATTCTACTTTAAAAGTTGTTTCATTTTTTTTGCTTTAACTATGTAATAAACAAACTAAAAAATCTATCTAGTCTCAATTATAAATTTGGTCAAGTTTTTTGATTATTAATCTCTTTTATAAAATGATTTATATAACAAAGCTGTTTTTCTATATTTTTATCTGTGTTTGTAACTTTAGAAAAATTTGATAATCATTGTACTTTTTCTTGTAAATCAGTATACATTTTAACAGAGAAGAGAGAAATATTTACAGATTGATCATTACTTTAATCAATTTTATTATTAATCAATTTTATTAATTGATTAATTGATTAATTATATTAATTGCTCATTATAATTAAAGTATTAGGTGATGTATGGGTTGTTACATTAGATCTGTACAATAATATAATTATTGTATGAGTTGTAAAAAACAACTAAATTTGCACAGCCATGTGATACAGGTTAACCCATGCAAATTTAGTTATTTTTTATTGATTAATCAATTTTATTAATTGCTCATTATAATTAAGTATTAGGTAATGTATAGGTTGTTACGTCAGACCCATACAATAATATAGTTATTGTATGAGTTGTAAAAAAACAACTAAATTTGCACAGGTTAACCCATATCACATCGCCTTCAGCCATATGATACAGGTTAACCAATGCAAATTTAGTTATTTTTTACAACCCATACAATAACTATAACTTTTTTTTTTTTTTTTTTTTTACAAAATCTCAATTATATCGTGATCCAGTAATCCAAATTGGATAACTTAATATCATTCGATTCGTCTCGATAAGACGAATCGAATGGTACCCAAATCATCTAATCCGGATCATTGAATCACAAGATATTCAAGAAAAACTATTTAATGAATTACGGCTGAATTACGGCATTTTTGCCGTAATTAATTGAATCGTTATTTGCAAATACTTCGTGACCAGTGTTGGGCCCAGTAAAATTGAACAGGAGCTGGACCTATAAGTCCAGTAATCCAGTTTATAAGTCCAGTAGAACGTACTTTTGGTCCAGAGTCCAACACTGTTTGTGACCCAGTGATCCAAGTTGGATCACAATATAATTAATGGTTTGTGAAAAAAATTACGACCATTATGACACCACTAAAATAACAATAATGATTCCGAAAATCAACCACTTGCTTAAGATACAGTACAAAATATAATTTATATGTTTAAAGGGCAATAAGATCTAGTCAAGATGTGATTTTATATTGGTGTTATTTCATAGAAAAATATGATAAAAGAATTGATAGGATTGTTATAACGTACTGGAGTTAAGAGAAAAACAGCAACATCTATGGCATATCGAGAAATTGAAATAGCTTCTATCTGATACTAATACTAATACAGTGTGAGACCGGAAACGTGATCTGACCGCAGGCACGTGGCCGCGTGACCCGGGAATTCCAAATTTGGGTTTACCGCCGGAATCCCGGAATTAATTACAGTAATTACAGTAATAAGGGTAATTTTGGGAATACGGCGAATTCTGCATGCAATAAGTAAATAAAGAATTAATTATAAATAAAGGCCTTTGAGCCCTTGGGAAAATAACAACTCCCTTTTATCATACAATTATTTTCGATAACATACTACCACTATTAATACATCTATACACTTCGTAATTTGAGTAATTACCTATAATAAAATTATCCCCTTCTACGTTTCGTATATCAGATTTAACGTTTAACTTACACCTTCGTTACGAACCCTGCCTGAACTATAATAAACCCTGGTTCTGTCCCAACCAAATTAAACCACTCGACTAAATCTAACACGCCCCTTTCGAACCCAACCAAGGTTGAGGTTACACGGTCCTACTTTCGATTTAGCGACAGACTCGCCGATTTCGGGTCTGACAACAGCATTACTAATGTGAATTTGCGTCAAAAAATTCTTGGAGCTAGAAAATTATGTTAGTTACAAGAGTTAATTGAACGCCAAAATGTATTGTATTATATTATACTTAAGTTTGATCTCGTCAGATTAGGGTTAGATTTTGTATTAAATTAAGTTAAAGGGTGCTTTATCATTACAAAAACTCGTGAGAATAACTTTTTGTTAATGCACAAAAAGCATTTGTGGTAAAATGTTATGAACGATTTTCTTGGATTTGATTTTTTTTGATTTGGCAATAAATTTTCTTGAGCGGTTAAAGTATCATTTTACTATTCTCATTTATGATATCATACTCTTCTCACACAACCACGTAAAATTCCTGATCATAATATATTTTGTCGTGCCTGAAGTTAACACTTGCCTAAAATTATATAAAATTACCAGCTAACGTGTGCAAATGATCTAATTTCAGGTGCTAATTTCAGTCAAGTACGAATTCAGGTACCTGGAATTACAACTTCAGGCACGACATATACACTAAATTATGAATATTTGTTAAGTAATGAGCTTTATTTAGTAGAGCGTAAAAATTTCTTTATAATTAGATTTAAATCTAGTTATGGTTAGGGGGTCGAGAAGTAATTTGCTGGAGGAGAATCCCAACACCAATTTAGCCAATCTCCTATAATTTTCTGAATCTCTTGAACAATAATCCGTTCAACGTTCTTTTCATCCCTTTTTCTGGCCAAAACTTCATTAGACCACGCAACAGCTTCTTCAACTTGTTTCCTATTTGCCAGCCCAATAACAGTACTATCCGCGCCATCCCATTCCAATGAAAACTGTATGGCCAATTTAGAGATGTTAAATCCATTCTCTTTTGCATACGATGCACATTTAGAACCGACAGATATTAATTTTGCAGGTGCCGGATGCCATTCTGGTGGTGCACTTTCAGTAAATAGGGCCATACATAAAGGAGAAGCATTCATTAAATATTTTACGCCGAGATTTTTAAACTTAGAAATGTAGTTTGTGAGAAGTGTATTTTGAAGACAGTAGTGAGAATAGGACTGTATAATGTCAAGTGGCTGATTGTGCTCATATTGGATCGTTGCTATTTTAATAAGTATGTCTAACGGATATCCTACAAGAGAATAGCGAAATGATTTATTCGTATGAGACATTTAAGCAATTATATTATACGCTGAACACTTTATTTACTATATAAAATAATTGGTAAATTCTTACCAGAAATCCCAACATATTTAATTTTTCCTTCTTTCTATATAAGATAAACAAAATTAAAAATGAGTATTATTTTCTATAATTTAAATATAAGTGCATACCTTTAACTTGAACAACTCCATCAAAACTCCGTTATTACCAACAACTTCATCAATGTCTACATACTCTACATCATGAGCATACACGACATCAATATAATCAGTTTTTAATCGTCTACAACTTTCCTCAACACTTTCGCGAGCACATTTCGGAGAATAATCAAAGCCTTTTTTAGTTGAACCATATCTTCCAACTTTTGTAAGAAGATAATAATGAGAACGGGGATATTTATCATGGAGTGATGAAAGAGCAGAGCCGAGCATCTTTTCACTATCTCCATAATAAGGACTTGTGTCAAATGCGTTTATACCTGAAAATGTAAATAATAAAAATCATTTCAAACAAAAAAAAAATGAAATATGGAATTCTTTATACCTAGCTCAAGTGCTCTTGATACAGCCTCGAAAGGTGAACTTTTTCCAACTTCATCAAAAAATCCACCGAATAGTGAAGTACCACATATTATTTTTGATACTTCAAGTTTATCTTGGCTTACGGGCTAAATTTCGTTAATTTAATTCAAATCTCAAAAATTTAAGATCAAAATAGATTATAAAATTTACCTGTGATTTAGTTAAGGGTTTAAAATCCATTCTAATAAATTTGGATAGCATAAAGGTAATTAAATTAGCATTCGATGCATTTAAGTTCTAAGAAATATTTTAGTTTTAGTCACATAAGGCTACCTTCTCCTTAACGTTAACGTTAATAGATTATAAAGCCTCTAATAAATTCCGTTCATAAGTTAGATATTTTAGGCCAACGTTTGTAGTCGCCTAACGCTATAAAGTTAAAATCGGCTAAATTGACTATGCCAAGTTACACATCCCGAATGTTCCCGATATTCACGTACAGTACGTACGTATTGTTTGATTATCGACTTCCGAGATCTCCCGCTACGTTTTACTGCGTCATCACCTTTCTTATGTTAAAAAATTATAACTTTACTGGCTTGATTAAATAATTTATAATGCTCATAAAAGGCTATAACGATTGAAATTTTTCAAGTGATTCTAAATTCAATAGACTCGATTAGGAGATCACTTAATGGACCAGATAATTACACGTAGTTGGGAAATTTAATAAACTGACCGACTTCCTCAATGTGACTTGTTATTGATTGAGATTAGAGATGTAGCGTGTAGCCCAAATTAGATTATTTGCAGTTTATACGAATTTATTGACGAAACCATGTCAAATAGTTTGCTCGATCGAGATGTTGCAATTAGTTAATACGTTCATTGAGATGGAGAAATCTTGTGACGTGTAGTCCAAAAGTGCTATAGCAAACTTAAGGCAGAATACGAAGCCAGCACCTGCCGCAACTAAATTTTTGAACATAACTCTGATATTAGAGTCTAAAAAGTTTAGTTAAAAATAAAAATAACACCAAATTAGAAAGTTGTGCATGTTTTTAACTGAACCTAATTCTGGCATTTCTATGCAATTTATCGCAATAAAATTCATGATTGGTGATGGCATGAATTTCATCTAAAGTAATATATAATAATATATCTTTTTTTAAAAAGAAAAAAAAGAAAATGTCATAAATCAATCTTTAGATTTATTTTTTCTTTAGAGACTTACACAATAGAAAATATATAGCACGTATATGCTAAATATTACGATACACGTCAAATGTTACGACATATACCGACACATGTAAAATGCTATATATGACTTTTTTGACGTGTTTACTGTTAATCAAAAATATGCAGTATAATATAAAAATTTATTACGTACTCAATTATAAAAATCGCGAACTTTAAATAATGTACAGTCAGGTTAGGATAAAATTTGTAAGAACCAATGTTATTTTTTACAAAAGAAGCTATAGTACCATTCTTTTATTAAAGTACTATTTGTAAAAAGTATACCAGGAACGAAGTACGTAGAGTATGGTTTACAGGCGAGTGAAGTGATGCACGCACGTACGTACGTACCTTTTTTTTGCATCTGATCTGGTTGGATAATCTATCCTCGTGATTTCATCTTGGGATTTCTATATTTGTATATTATGAGGCTTTTTGTCTACAGTATCACAGGTTAAAAGCCACGATAATAAATAGCAAATTTTTTTTTTAAATCGATGACCAGACAAGGAATATTAATATCGATATATTCATCCTTTGTGTCAAGTACGCATAGAATAGTTGCTATTAAGTACGTACAGTACGTACATATTATTATTGGCGTATTTTGAGAATTCTGGATTCTTCGCTTTATTAAATTGATAATTTAGGAAGTACATGAAAATATTCTTGTTTTTACCTGTTTGTTCAAATTTCTGCCTGCATTGTTATATATTTTATAAATTCATTCGTATGTAATATTTTACTTGATTTGGATAAATTGGGCTTGTCTATGTCAATTGAGCTGATCTATAATAGTAATCATAATTTACAATAGATGTTGCGATATACTTGTCGACTAGTGAAATACATGAAAACATAGAAGTATTCATACGGTATATCCCCCATATGAGTACCCGGGTACATGACATGAACTAGGGAATACCCTGGGTACACATGTCGCAGAAATACGGTATTTCCTAAATTATTGGTATCAATAAAATGCACGTACGTACGTACAATTTTACATTATATTACCAGTCACACGATTTGTCACGCAGATCATAGGGGTAAATTTTTTACTATGAAATTCGAGTGATCGACATCCATATGATCGATCCATTTTTCATAGTAAATTGCAACGGCAGGCCCTCTTCAAATAGCTTTTTC